CTCTGGACTTAAAGGTTTTTATCTGTGTTTGTGTTTGTCCTTTTGTGAATGTTGTCTGCCAGTATATAAATAAAAGTGTATATACTCAACTCACAGTCCTCTTTAATTTCTCAGTCAGGGGAAATTAGGGGGATAACAGACTATTGATAGTACAGTATTGAAAAATGCGTTCGTCTGGAAATAACATGGAATTTCCCCCTATATGTATAAAAGTATGTATCTCGAGATACAACATATAAATACAAACCATACTTTTGAAATAAGACTAGGTTTATCAACTGGAAGCCGTAAGAGGGCGAGGAAAATATTTTTCTAAATTTTAAAGCAAGATTAAGCAAATTAAATTTTTTCCAACTCTCGATCGTCTCACTTTCTCAAAATTCTTTGCCACCAACCAGTCTGACTCAAAGATTCCACCGCAATTTTCCTCATTTTTAAAGAGTCTAATGCACTTTTTCATCTTCAGTCTAATATTGGGGACAATATAATCTTTAGTGTGAGTCAAATATCAGTTTCTAAAGTACGGCCACAGGGGTGAAAAATTGCATCCCCCAAATAAAATGAAAATCTGGTAAGATTAGATTTGGCAAACCAGATATTATTCGTGTATGAAGGAGAAAGAAAATTAAACAATTAAAGTAGTGTACGCTACAGGTTCGCATCACAGAGTTAATTAAGCTAAATATATTTGACAGCACTTCATCTCAAGTTTAAAAATGCATTGCTTTACAAGTAATAGTGAATGTGAAACTGAACGCCAAAGGAATAAAATGTGAAGGCTCAATATTCGTGCAAAAAGCAGTATTTTAGAATTGGATGACAATTTTGGCTGAAGATGAGAAAAAATGGACGTTTGCTTTTTCTTCTCAAAAAAGCTGGGGAAGAAAATTGGGGTGAGGAACATTTTTATTTAAATCTCTGATGGAGATTAATAGTTTTTTTGTTTCCCTCAGTTAGCGTGTCATTTAAATGCTGCCCATATACCGAGATCATCATCCAAATCATCCTCCTCAACGTCATCGTCGTCAGCAATGTCCTGAGGCAAAATCCCGTCGTAATCCCCGACATCCGAGTCGTCGTCAGACCGTTTCCCAATGGCCTTGACGTATCCCGAAGCAATTGCTGACCCAATGTGCCGTTTGTCAGTCGGGTATTCGTTATCCTCTTCCCCGGACTGGGTCATCGGCTCAAAGTCCTCGGTGTCGCTGTCTTCTTCGGCCAGGTGACGATACGGGAACGTGACTGCGGACAAGAACCGCTTCTTCTTGTCGTGATGGGCCTGGTGAGGAAAGTAGATCCACGGTAGCCCGTGGAACCCAATGTCTTTCATCACGGAACCCAGGTGTCGTTTCTCGGAGCTGAACGGATCACTGCGCTTTTTGGCGGATTTGAAAACGTTTTTCGGCTCCCATGCTTGATACGGGCGTCCGAGGAACCTGAAAACGTCGAGATATTTTTAGTCTAATTCAACAATGATTGACATTTTGTTTGATCAACTATGAGATTCACTTACAGTGTTTCATGCATTGAGCCGAGTCGATCGACGACTTGAAAATTAGCATGATGTACAATCGTGTCTCAATTTGTGCATGAATTACATCTGAAGAACTAAACTGTCAAAATATATCGCACAGACTGATTTTTTGTGTGGGCAAATATGCAAAAAATGTATTTTTGAGCATTCAATGGTAGCATCAAGAATAATCGGCATTCAAGAATCATCAGTCGGGATTTTTCCCGACTTTGCCCTGCAAACACTGTTGGTTTTTTTTTTAATTCCACTCTTGAGTGCAACCAAAATCTGTAAAAAAAAAGTCTGACTCTGCTGCAGAAGGCTTAAACCAGACAAAACTAAGGATATGTAATTAAGGTACCCCCTTAATTACATATTCCCAGCCACAAACTGGCTGATTGCCCTGCCTTATTATTACTTACCATTTCTTCCACTGCTGAGCTATGGTTCAATTCTTTATGTTGGGTTGATTAATTTCTCAACAACTGTACTGTATTTCATTTTGTCAACTGAATATCAATACTGAAACATATCAAAATTTAGATTCCCAAACCTGGCGGCCCATTCGTCGGGCACGGAAGGCAGACCCACGCGGTTCGGGTCCTCGGAGCGCCAGTTGCGACTGCGACGGCGAGATGACGCACTTCGCCACACCGGCGAGTAGAAGTCTTCTTCACTTCCGCCGTGGTCCTCGTCGACATCGCCGACACTGTCGCTGGTTCTTGCCAGGGCCGTGGGGAACGAGTAGCCGTTTGCCGATCGACGGAAGCTTTCTGTCTTGCCGCGTTCGACCGGAAGCCGGAAACTGGCCCGTTTCCGCAAAGCGTGTTGCTGCTGGCCGAGTTGTCTCAGCATCCAACCTCGCCCCGGGGCCATGTGAAGGGATTGTCGATCCTGGGTGTCGTATTTCGTCGGGTCCTGGGTTCCGGGCGTCGGTTGTTTGTCACCGTCGCCAGAGAATGACGTCGAAGACGAGTCGTTTTGTTGCGTGGAATGCGTTTGGGCGTCGTCCAGGGTGGCTGCCTCGCAACACTAGAATTCCAAACACGAAACAAAGGTTGCAAAATTATCAGTGAAATGGATAACTTCGCAAGTTTCATTTACTGTACTGCACTTCACTTGCACATGACGATTTATATTATATAAAGCCTCGCAATTTTTCAGTCTCAGCAGAGCGGTACAAATTGTAAAAAAAAAATCGACCAAAAATGATGCGGACAAACTTCCAAGAGCTTTTACATATAAAATTTCTTGAAATCTGAGCAGTTTGTTGATTATACTAATTCTTCAGCTATCATCTCATTTCTGTTTCACAGAAATTATCATAATACTGTAATTTTAGTTCCGTAATAAAACGTGAAAAAATGTCAAGGCTGTTGAAATTAAATTCTAGTGTTCATCATAAACCAGCGCATAATTAACGACATCGAATGTTCAGGATAATGAAATGCGAGCCATTGTCATCGAATTTAACGCACACCTTGTACTTTATTTGATTATTCAAATGGATAAATCAATTCTTGATAATGACATTTAATCGAATGAAAAAAATGGAGGTCACCCCTGAATATTTATCTAGACAGTGGACATAAATTTATTGCTAGCATGTGTTCGAATCAGTAAAAGGCGCAAATAAATAGGACAATTATGTCTTTTGTAAACCATTTCAACCTTTGGGATTAAGCTTTGGGCAGCTTCATAAAAATTATGCCAACACCTTTTGATAATTTGGATGCAGCTTAACATTATGAAAAATGTAATTACATGCTTTTGAGTTTAATTGCAGCATAAAAGCTCACACCTATCAGGAGATGTCATGGCTGTTCTACTGTCAGTCCACTTTTTTTTTTAGATCTTCTCTCCAAGAGAATGGGGAGAGAAACATCATGAAGGAGTGGAGAACATTAAATTAAATGTTTAAAAATGGAATGCCAAAATCTCCGTCCTCCATAAAAATTTCAAATATTATTCCGCGGAGCTGACGTCGCTGGCACAATGTTGGCGGAACACCTTTCCCTCAGTTTCTTTTTGCAATTTCGGGACAAGATGATCTGAGTTTTTTTCATTGTGGGTGTGTCCCAAACACGAAGGATCAACGCAACTTGAGCAATAACCTCAGTGATGACCGTGGGTCTGCGATATTAGCTGAAAAAGTTGGGGAGGTTGACGGAAGATTGCGGGACTGGGATGGAATTGACTCCTACGCAATAAGAACACAAGTAGGAATGGGTTTCACTCCCCCCCTGAGCCTGAACGGCCAAGAACAATATCTCCAGTTTGCTTCCCCTGGCCGCTAGAACCCAATCAACCAGGGTTACCCACCCACCCGAATCTCCCCAGGCTACTGCTTGACTTCCCTCCTACAAATCTAAGATTGTGAATCCATCACGCATTGACCATTCATTATTGGAAATACACAGTAGGGATTCCCAACTTTTTTCACTTTACCAGTGTTTTTGGCTGTCCTGCTATTGCAGTAGAATTTTGTTTCAAAATATTCCTGGTTATGAAACATATCATTCAAGGTTCCTGCAGAGTAGCCACAATTTTATTCAAGTCTCAATGCTTTTTTTTTCAATGGTCCCGATGGTTCTTTTATAAAAATATTATATTTTGAAGACATGCTTTTCAAATCTGCTCATTCAGGAAGTTCCGTATACCGTATTTTCTTGCAGATGAGCAAAAAATGTTTATAATTCAGCACAAGTTGATGAGCCATGTGCTGAAAAGTATTACAGTATAGACATTACATTATATAGAGTTTATACCATGTAAAGAAGATAAATCTATCGATATTTCGAAATAATTTCCCGTTTATAAAGAAAGGACAGGAAATTATGCTTTTCTTCGAGACAAATTTATCATTCAGATAATGCTCTGATAAATGTAAAACAAAACCATGAAAATCCTACAAAACATCGCCCCGGGGCCATGTGAAGGGATTGTCGATCCTGGGTGTCGTATTTCGTCGGGTCCTGGGTTCCGGGCGTCGGTTGTTTGTCACCGTCGCCAGAGAATGACGTCGAAGACGAGTCGTTTTGTTGCGCGGAATGCGTTTGGGCGTCCAGGGTGGCTGCCTCGCAACACTAGAATTCCAAACACGAAACAGAGGTTACAAAATTATCAGTGCAATGGATAACTTCGCAAGTTTCATTTACTGTACTGCACTTCACTTGCACATGACGATCTATATTATATAAAGCCTCGCAATTTTTCAGTCTCAGCATCAGAGCGGTACAAATTGTAAAAAAAAATCGAACAAAAATGATGCGAACAAACTTCTAAGAGCTTTTACGCATACAATTTCTTGAAATCTGAGCAGTTTGTTGATCAAACTAATTCTTCAGCTATCATCTCATTCCTGTTTCACAGAAATTATCATAATAACTTTAGTTCCGTAAAAAAAACGGAAAAGGCTGTTGAAATTTAATTCTAGTGTTCATTATAAATCAGCGCATAATTAACGACATCGAATGTTCAGGATAATGAAATGCGAGCCATTGTCATCGAATTTAACGCACACCTTTTACTTTATTTGATTATTCAAATGGATAAATCAATTCTTGATAATGACATTTAATCGAATGAAAAAAAAATGGAGGTCACCCCTGAATATTTATCTAGACAGTGGACATAAATTTATTGCTAGCATGTGTTCGAATCAGTAAAAGGCGCAAATAAATAGGACAATTATGTCTTTTGTAAACCATCGCGACCTTTGCGATTAAGCTTTGAACAGCTTCATAAAAATTAAGCCAACACCTTTTGATAATTTGGATGCAGCTTAACATTATGAAAAATGTAATTACATGCTTTTGAGTTTAATTGCAGCATAAAAGCTCACAGCTATCAGGAGATGTCATGGCTGTTCTACTGTCAGTCCACTTTTCTTTTAGATCTTCTCTCCAAGAGAATGGGGAGAGAAACATCATGAAGGAGTGGAAAACATTAAATTAAATGTTTAAAAATTGAATGCCAAAATCTCCGTCCTCCATAAAAATTTCAAATATTATTCCGCGGAGCTGACGTCGCTGGCACAATGTTGGCGGAACACCTTTCCCTCAGTTTCTTTTTGCAATTTCGGGACAAGATGATCTGAGTTTTTTTCATTGTGGGTGTGTCCCAAACACGAAGGATCAACGCAACTTGAGCAATAACCTCAGTGATGACCGTGGGTCTGCGATATTAGCTGAAAAAGTTGGGGAGGTTGACGGAAGATTGCGGGACTGGGATGGAATTGACTCCTACGCAATAAGAACACAAGTAGGAATGGGTTTCACTCCCCCCCTGAGCCTGAACGGCCAAGAACAATATCTCCAGTTTGCTTCCCCTGGCCGCTAGAACCCAATCAACCAGGGTTACCCACCCACCCGAATCTCCCCAGGCTACTGCTTGACTTCCCTCCTACAAATCTAAGATTGTGAATCCATCACGCATTGACCATTCATTATTGGAAATACACAGTAGGGATTCCCAACTTTTTTCACTTTACCAGTGTTTTTGGCTGTCCTGCTATTGCAGTAGAATTTTGTTTCAAAATATTCCTGGTTATGAAACATATCATTCAAGGTTCCTGCAGAGTAGCCACAATTTTATTCAAGTCTCAATGCTTTTTTTTTCAATGGTCCCGATGGTTCTTTTATAAAAATATTATATTTTGAAGACATGCTTTTCAAATCTGCTCATTCAGGAAGTTCCGTATACCGTATTTTCTTGCAGATGAGCAAAAAATGTTTATAATTCAGCACAAGTTGATGAGCCATGTGCTGAAAAGTATTACAGTATAGACATTACATTATATAGAGTTTATACCATGTAAAGAAGATAAATCTATCGATATTTCGAAATAATTTCCCGTTTATAAAGAAAGGACAGGAAATTATGCTTTTCTTCGAGACAAATTTATCATTCAGATAATGCTCTGATAAATGTAAAACAAAACCATGAAAATCCTACAAAACATTTTCAAATTTTTTCCTGACTCAACCCTAAATTTTTTCTCATGACTTCTGCTTGACATCGTCGAAGCCCTCTTTCTGGAAAAAATTTACTTTTAAAAATATTTACTTCCCCTAGAATGACCCAATGACTTAAGTCCATTTCATGATTTAGATTTTGATACTGTATATTATACCCCGATTTTTTTCTAAATTCTGCATACCCATTTATCACGCATACCCTGATTCGCTGTCTATTTTTCCGAGAAAAACGTGTGCGGGTACTTGGGTAAAAGCTGTAAAACTTATTGAATAAGACCTGCAAGGACTGATGTCATGAAAAATTATTTTTGCGTTCAATTATCCACCTGAGTCCTGTGACGTGCAATTTTCGGATTTTGAGTTGACGAACTTTAAATCAATTGCTTTCTCCTACCTATTTTCGCATAAAAATAAATTAATGAATAAATAAAACAGTACATGACGTCCAAACAGATGTCATGCAACAATCAACAGCTTGAACTTGAAAGCGCTTTTAGCTTTACCCTTGAAACCTAAGTGAACGAGCTCGAATGCACTTACAGGGGATCAAGTTAATATTTCAGTAAATGCGAGTGACTCCCCCAGGCATTAAAGTGAAGTCCCATTAGATCTCGGGCTTGAAGAGCACGATCCCTTTTGTCAACATATTGCCCTTTGAAATCTCTCATGTACGTAGTGCGTGCGGACATTTCTGCGTAATAAACCGTCACACGCGCAGGTATTATCTTTAATTCAGTGCTGTACAAATTTTGTCGTTGGCAACTCTGCACACACGCGACCGACTCGCAAATATATCCTCAGACTTCCATCGGACCCGTGGAAGCCCTTCACTGATGGATGCCACATGTGTCGACTTCTCGACGCGACATCCGAAAGTATTTGCTCTCATAACAGCCGAAGCAATTGAGCCTCCTCTTGATGTCCAGCTGTCTAACGAGTTCCTATACGCATCTGGTTACCAAGCAAATGTCCTGGGTCAACTGAGCGCCACACAAACTGGGCGCTATGGCCACGTGAGCACGGACCAAATGAACGTCAGAAAAGAAATGGACATCCGGCAATCGAAAACTGGAAGTCCTCATGACGAATTAGTTTTTTTAATCCTTTTCCCACCGTATTATATTTTCTTTTAAATTTCCTTCTGCCAAGTGACTGTTTAGATTATAATTGAATAGTACATAGGCCACGCCTCCATAATATCCAAATGTTGATCAATTACGCCGGGAAATCAAATGCATATGCCGCAAAAATTAAATTAATTTGAAGAAAAACACGTTGCCCCAAAAATAATGCTGTTTTTATTCAAGTATCAAGCAAACATATACCCCCCACCCCACCCCCATATTTCGGACCATAAACTGGGGTTGACATAAAAATAAAGTGCAAATAATTTGGCAAATTTTCCAATTTCTTGTCAACATCATCACATATAAATCACATCAAGTAAACATTTTCAGAGAAAAGAAAATTGGATCCCTTTGGATTCCCCTTTTATAGTATGAATTTATAGCTTTAGCTTGAGTAAATCTTCAATTATTAACATTTTCACTGGAAACCGGGTTGGGTGTCTTATGTGATGGGCGGATATGTTTGGAATACCCCTCACTCTATGTTCCTGTAACATAATATTGCATGGTTTTAAATAGTTTTAAACCTTCAAACATGTTTTCAATCCTTCAAATGCAGGACAGAATATACTGTACTGATGAATTATCTAAAAATATCGGGAAATTTTAATCCAATTTTTAGAAAAATGTAAAACTTGGGATTAAAGAATGAGAACACATAAATTTATGCCATTTTGGAAGAATACCATTCTCCGGCAAAAAACTAATCGTAAGAATGCTCGGTACACAGTGGAATACAATAAGTACAAGCATAGATAATGCAAACACTCTTTGATGGACGAAAAAATTAGTCAGGGCTCACTATATATTCAGTATATATTCCCTGATGTTCAGTTGTTCCCAAGACTCGCACCACATGCGCTCAGTTGTCCTCTGTGATCATTATTTGGCGTGACATCCAGAGGAAATTCTGCTTATACTGTACTTGGGAAAATCGCATAGCTCGACATTATACAGAATGTCTCCGGAAGACCCGATGATTAAACTTGTATGAAGAGTGGAAGAAACAAAAGGGACCTGCTTTGCGATCAGCTAATTCTCGGCTAGTAAGCGAAGCGTGATTTTAATTAAACCTTCTCCTTTCCCATTTTGAACAGCTGCTTTGACATCGCATGAATCATTCTCTGCGGAATTTTCTGCACAGGCTTGCATAATATTGCTTCTGTGCTGGAACAGAACCATTATAGGATTTGCGATCGCGGAGGTTCATTCATCTTCCAAAAATAAGATTCAATATCATCTGTTACGAAAGCTTTGCCGCTGTATAAATATAATGACTGAAAATGACTTTCATCCTAGGAAATTGCTCTTTCCGGAATGAGGCTTTGTGTGTTGGAATATAGTTTTTGGGTGCTCAAATTTGTTTAAATGAGGACAAAAGGCGCGAGTTTTTTTTGGTTAGGAATAATACTTGAAGAGATTAGTTGAAATTACGAATTAACAAAATATTGAAAAGCTTCAAAGAAACCTACTGCTATGATTTCATATAAAATTGGAAATTTTCGGAAGAAAACAAAATTTGAATCTTCATTTCATACCATTCCATAGATTATCAAGCGAACACGATATTCGCAAATCGCGGCATGAGTCGAACTTTTCAGCAAGGTTTAAACTAATGAAGTAATTTAGTATATGGACTAATTTCTGGAATGGCTGATGACTACTGCTGGTTATTCGTCACGATTAAAGATTGAAAACTATTATGCTGTGGACTTGAAATAAATTAGGAACGCTTCTTTTTTCATTGAGAACCACTGTGTTGACATGAGTTTTTGCGAACGTACTATCGCCAAATTTCAAAATACTTTGTTGTGGAAGAAATTTATAAACTTTAAAATAAACTACTGATATACCCCCTCGAAAGATACAGCAATTCATTTGTACGTTTCGTCTATTTTTGGTAGGTAAGTTTTTAAGTCAAAATGTTTTAAAATATGATAATAGAGTATATTTGCTGTAGAATTGTGAATCATTAATTTTAATTTTCCCTAGCTCAGACTTTATCAGCTTCAAGGCAAAATTCCAGCATAATTAACGCAAAACCTGCCAATATCAGAAAATTCTTTAAAATCGAAAAAAGGAAGTATAGTATAGTTTTCATGAATTGCCACTCGGAACACTTTGTCATTTCAACTATTTTTTGAACATCACGACCATTGGATATCCATAAAACGTGAAATTTTAGAAAAAATATATGCTATGAAATTATAATTAACTGTCCCGTCTCTCAATTTAAAAAGGCATATATACCGATTTCAATGGCTTAGGCAATTTTAAAACTATTATTTTGAAGAAATTGAGCCTAATTTCACCCAGCATTTAACCAGTCTCCAACAAATGAATCTCTGAAACGTGGGAATAACATAGCTGGTAATACCTGAACATCAGGCCCTCTTTCAATAAGCCAATGAGGGCTATTCCAAGCCCAAGGAATCTAATACGTATAGACTATTTCTAAGTCAATTCGAATAAAGAATCCTCCCTCTCTCAGCTGCTTGAAAATTGATGCTCTCTCGATGCATCTAAATTCCTAGAATGGTTCAACATCGCACGATCTTCTCACGTTGAATCCGAAAGTGGACGTATATTTTGAGATCGTTCCGATGGGTTCCCGAAGATAAAGTCTATTCATCGTTGGATAGTACTCGGATCTGGGGCAATTGTGTATGCATGGAATCTCAACCCAGCGATAGACTACGAAGAAGGATTTTTTAAAAATTCGGTCCTTCCTCATGGTCTACTCGATACATTCGGGTCACGACGTCAAAACCCGGGCCAAAAAAAAAATAGAAAAATAAATCGCAATACCGATCGAGAGATGCTGCGTCGAATATGCTTCAGATCGACGATCTGCAGTCTCAATATACTCCGAGGAATAGCTTCACATTATTGCATATTTAGGCGCAAGTATAAGGGATTCTTTAGTGAAAGACTGTCGCATCACATTGCTTATGATCAAGTGCATTTCCTGTATATTACGAATTTTTTTTCTGATGTGAGTCAGAAGGATCTGTGAGTCTATTCTGTCGCTTATTACGAGCCTAGTTCACATTCTGTCACTTCTTATGGTTCGGTGTGACTCTGATTAATTTTATACGAATCTGGCATTTTTGTTTGAGACTTACTATAAGAAAAGTTCAGCGCTTTAGTAAGCAATTATCAGCGGAAAAAGATAAGTTCTCGCGCTGCGGAACGTAGGAATAAAAATGAGATCGTTTTCGGAATCTGATGTCTGTACTTACAAAGTTGCATTCGGAAAAGGATGATTAACCTTTTCAGCATGCTTATAGATATTATAATAATATCGTATAAATGTATCAGCGAGAATACCCACTATACGTTGAAAATATACCAAACTCAAAAGCTTTGAATTTTGTTTCGAAGGATTTTCACTTTTTAATTCTCTACATATGGATAATATGCAGATAAAAACGACCAGATATTATCCCGTGCTCGCATCTCCTTTTATCAATTGAAATTCTTGAACGAATCAATTAGATGAAAGAGTTCAAGATTTTTTAATCCTGTTTCCATCATCGGAGTTTTTCTCCTAAATAACTGTAAAATTTAGTCAATTGAAGCCGTAACAAAATTTCGATATACTTTAAATCCTGAGACAATCACCATATCACCTAAATTAATGTATGTTTGGCCAAAAATTGGACAATATATTGTCCAAAGCCACGCGTCACTAGGAAATTCTTTTCTCAAACCCCTTCAAACCCCGATTATTAAAGGGGACGGAAAATCATATTGTGCCATTTTTGTGCCGTCAATTGCTTTTGACAGCCGTACCAGAATGCAAAGCTAAAAATTTGTTACCGTATTCAAAATCAGGGGGAAGAAAATTGAAATGATTCATTCCAAATGCATGCATATTGCATGCAAATTGTTTAATTAGGAACGATTTGATAGAAATCAAATATCACATCCTGAAATACTTTCTCGATTCAACTCTGTATATACAGTAAAACACATTTCTAACGTGGAATCTCAAAAAGACCTTTTCTGACAACAACAACAAATCCCTTACGAAAGAACATCCTCGAACCATAAAAATTTTTAAATCTAAAAATAGGAAGATATACCTAAAATTTTCGAATTTTTGTGGAGGAAAACTCCGTATGCTTCCGTCAACAAAAAAAGAGAGAAAATATATTTTGTATACCCTGTACATGCTGATCTCGGAGCTCTTCTCTCCGTCGGTCGGACGTAATAGAACCTAGGTCTCGTCGCACATGCAATATTTCCGAATATAATGGCGAGCAAAAAGGGTCTTTTCA